CCGACGGCAACTTAGGCAAGGAAATAAAATGCGCCATCTTGCTGAACCGGTCCACCACCGTGAGAATGGCGGTGTGCCCTTGAGATGGTGGTAGGCCGGTTACAAAGTCCAGGGATACGTGGGACCAGGGGCGGTGAGGGACGGGAAGCGGGTGCAGGAGTCCAGCCGGAGCCTGGTTGGAGGACTTGTTCCGGTTACAGACGGGGCAGGCTTTTACAAACTCCTGGACGTCTTTGTTCAGGGACTCCCACCAGAACCGGCGCCGGAGAAATTCTCTGGTTCGCTGGATCCCTGGGTGGCAGGTGAGATGGGTACTGTGGCCCCACTGGAGTACCTCAGACCGGAGTTGCCTCGGGACAAAAGAGTCAGTTGGGTGGGCAGGCGCTGGGACCTGGCTGCTCCTCCAGAGCTGCCTGAACCCTCTCCTCGACTCCCCAGGTGATGGCAGCCGCCAGGCGAGCCGGGGGAAGGATGGTGACCGCCTCTGCAGTACCCTCCTCCTCCCCCTTCAGAAATAGGCGAGACAGAGATCGGGCTTGACGTTGCGGCTACTTGGTCGATAGGAGAGGGTGAAATTGAAGCGGGTGAGGAAGAGTGACCAGCGGGCCTGCCTGGAATTTAGTCTCCTGGCCGTCTTGATGTACTCCAGGTTCTTGTGGTCGGTCCACACCAGGAAAAGGCTGTTTGGCCCCCTCCAGCCAGTGCAGCCACTCCTCCAGAGCCGCCTTCACTGCCAGGAGCTCTCGGTTGCCGATGTCGTAGTTTCTCTCTGCGGGGTTCAGACGGCGAGAGAAGAAGGCGCAAGGGTGGAGTTTCTGGTCGTCGGCGGCCCGCTGCGACAGGACGGCCCCTACGCCAACATCCGAGGCATCCACCTCCACTACAAATTGCCTCTCTAGGTCGGGCATGCGCAGGATGGGGACTGGGGGACGAGGGCTTGTTTCAGGCAGACTTGATGACAGGCTGTGCTCCACCCCAGGATGGACCCTGTCGCCCAGTCGATGTGTGGGTTATGACGGTGAAGCCAGGGGAACCCCAGGAGGAGCGGGATCCGAGTTGAGTCCAGGATGTGAAAAGAAATCGACTCATGGTGGTTCCCGGAGAGCAGCATCTGGACAGGGACAGTCTGGTGGGTCACCATTCCGAGGGCGTGACCATCCAGGGCATTGGCGGGCACGGGCTGAGGCAGAGGCACTCTCTCAATCCCCAACTGCCAGGCTAACTCGCTGTTGATAATGGATACGTCGGCCCCTGAGTCAATGAACACCGCCAGGGTGTGGGAACCCCCTGGCACCAGCAGGCGGCAGCGGCAGATTGGTCTCTTGATGGGGGACAGTTTGGAAGGAGGGCTCACCGGTGCGTCCCCAATCACTGGTGAGCCTTGGCTTTTCCCGGGCACTTGGAGACAAAGTGTCCCTCTCCCCCACAGTACATGCATATTCCGTCTGCGCCGGCGCTGGCGCTCCATGGTTGACAGGGTGGTCCGGCTGAGTTGCATGGGTTCCGGGTCCAGGTTGAAGGGATGAAGCCTGGTGTGGCGGACTGCTGCGGCGGGGTTGGAGGCGTCCAGCCCCTCCCTGCCGGGCAAGGATGCGTCGGTCAACTCGCCGTGTAAGCTCTATGAGCTCATCCAGGGAGGTGGGTAGGTCGAAGGACACCAGCTCGTCCTTTACATGGTCCTCCAGGGCCCCGCAGGTAGGCGTCGCACTGAGCCTCGGTGTTCCACCTGCTCTGGCGCGAAAATCTATGGCGTAATCTGCCACCGCACGGTCTCCCTGGGTGGAGGTTCATGAAACCGCCGGCGGCATCTTGGGCTA